CTAAAGGTGATGGATTTTCTTAAGATTGAGAATCCCTGTCCTCAAGGAAACACGTGACGAAGAATACACAGACTCAGCATGCAGACTTCCACATCTGTTGAGGTAATGCCCAGTTGTATGCACACTGAGCTGTCTGGTGGGATATGTTCAGCCTTCAGCAAAACCAAGTTATTCTTCTCCCACTCAACTGACTCCACAGGAAACACCACAAAAGAAGAAAACTCCAAGGCTGTCATTAATGCCTGTCATTAATGATTAAACTAATGTTATCTCATTCAAAACCTCATTGTACAAATTCAGATTGTCTCAATTTCTATAATGAAGAGCAGAGGCCCCAAAAGGAATCAATTGTTTACATAATATATTTCAGCAGTTTGAGGATAGATAAGGATAGGTAACCTAAGTACCTAAAAGAACTAATGAACTATAATTGTCATGGTAGCAAATAGCACACTACTCACTTCCTTTAGTGCTTGCTCTTCCTAGTATTCCCTCTCATACTTAGGATTCTTATTTACACACACTATTCATTTTGGAGAATGACTTGACAAACAAATCCGTATTATGTTTGACTGTACAGAAACACTGAGGAGAAATGGAGCTCCAGGAGGAACTCCCATGCTTTAACATGTTCAACTATAATTTTGTGGTTTCTTTTATCACCATCTTGGACTGGACCACAGATGATCATAGACAGTGTCCCTCTTGTCTAGCTGCAATAAAAGCTTGCCTTCAGAAAGGTCAGACAAAATGAACCTGGGATTATTTTGGCAAGCAGGAATCCCACACAGGACCTGCTGTGATCTGCATGTTACAAGTTTTCAAACACACACATAAACTTGGAGAGCAAAGTCATTCCGGCTCAGCTACATCCTCTTCCTGCAGGAAGGGCAATATCTCAGACCATTTTATGGTCAGTAAGTGAAGGTGATTTAGGAAGGAGAGGAGAGGAAATTCACTGGGGGCAGGGACACTGCTGCTGTCTGTCATCTTGACCTCTTTCATAGGTGAGAAGAAATCTAGGAAATGAATTTTGAGACAAGCTTTTAGTCAGAGTTGCAAAATTCTGTAATATATTCCTCTTAAGGCTTTATAATACTTTAATACATTCCTGTTAGGACATAATAATTACACTGAGAAAAGTGTGGTGCTGTATATCCATTACATTTATGCATCAGCATTTGTATGCATCAAGACATGAAAGTTCTAATAATGAGAGGTATCATTTTCTGAGTAAAGATCATAATTAATAACTGACATCATTAATAGCTTTTCACACCAGTGCACTCAAAATTAAATGCTTGTCTATGTTTCTTTTGTGTTACTGTTACTGATGTTAGATAAAAATCAGCACTTACCAGTCCTTGAGCAGCCTAATTGAAGCAGACACTTACACTCCTCACAGGATTTCTTAGATTTTATGCATCTTTCAAATGTACAGTCCTCGTTGGTTACCTGTACAGCGATAAAGTTCTCTGTACATGTAGTTAACTGAACCTGGGACATTTTTCATACTTGGAGAAGGTTTCCCAGGAGTAAGCTGGAAAAATGGTTTCCACATCCTTCTGAACTATTGTTCACCCTCCACACTTCTGAAGACTACATACATGATTAACTTGAACTGGAAATCACAAGAACAGTGTGATGGAGGTGACAATGCTTCCCATGCTCATAACAAGGTACGTGTTACAGGCCATCAGATCCTATACCAGCTGTGATCGTGGGTCATAGATTAAAAATGACCACAAAAGGCATTTTAAGGTTCCACTATGGGCTCTTCTGCATATGCGACAAAAGCACTTCAGTTTGTCTCAAATTACAGGACATATTCATGCAATTTTTGCCCACATCTTTTTCCACAGATCCTGATCTCTCTGAGATACTACATCACCAATCAAATCTCAAAAATAAACCAGGTAATGCATTTACAAAGTAGATAGTAATCCAAACCAATAAGTGATCGAAGAAGAATTTGGAGCGCAGACTTACTGAAACAATTTTGGATGAGAGCCAGCTGGAGAGCAGAAATTGCAAAATTAAAGTAAGGATTAATTGCTTAAGATTTAAAAGTGTGGATTACTATATGTAGAAACTTGCAGCTCCATACCTGATCATTATCATTCTCAAAGGGTGCTCCATTATCTCATCAGAGGAAAGGAAATAGGAGAGGTGCAAACATTCTGTGTATTTACAATGAATTTATAAATTATTTGCTGAAAGAGAAGAAGGTGCAAAAAGCATCAGTTGGCAATAAAAGTTTTACTGCTAGGAGACAAGGGACCAGATCTTCCCAGTGGCTAACACCAGAGAGAAGAGCTGTAAGTTGGCAAGAACTCACAGACCACATGTCCAAAAGTCTGAGCAGCCCAATGGTCAGAATCTCAGCAGCAGGATTTAATGGCATCATATGTTCTTGTTCACAGTTTTTTGGTTGTTATTGGAGTGGGAAGGGTGTTGTGGAAGAGAATGCTGCACGTGTGGTGGGCTTAGGTGGGAAGCTTGCGGGGAACAGGCTTTCAGAAGGAACTCAAAGTGTTCCATGGTATAAAAGACACAGCTGTCACTCAGTGCTACCTGTGGCGCAGTGTACCACGATGAGGGCATGAGGAAATCCATCCTGTTAGAAAAGAGGCCCCTGTGGTCTCTGAAGCTTTACCACTCACTCTGGTAACACAGTGGGATATTACATATACATAGTAGCGCTTTATTGTGGTTGGGTTTGGGCACAGGTGCTCTCAGAAAGGAGTTCTACCCTGTCACCTATATTCTTTTGTATCTGCTCTGGCAGATACTTCCTATCATTCGTGTGGTGCAACATGGTCACTCACAAAAAAATGTTCATTTCACTCAGATGTTCTGTAATTTTTTGCTTGATCACTCTATAGGCTACAGAACAGCGTTCAATTACGCTGCCAACCACACAACACCATGGCTAGAGTACCTTGAAGATCTCACTAACTTTTGTGTCCTCAGTGGTGCTTACCTGAGCAGACTGTCAGAGCACTCACACACCTCATGGGGTGTTCAAAAACCCCACTACTGCTTTCCTTAGGATCCTACAGGCTGACTCACCTCTCTAAGCTTCCCAGTGCTTGATGCGTCCCTGTGATAATCGGAAGGGCTGGGGCAAATGTGCAATTGCATGATAATACCTTCACTTACCTACAGATAATGAATAGGTAAGAAGGAAAAGCTAGACGCAGACAAGAAGGAGAACACATTCATTACAATTAAGGAGGTCGCTGTGCTGTTGTATGAAGTTCCTATTACTATAGCTGTCAAGACTTCTGCCTTTTAAAATATTGAGGAAAATATGATGCTTACTCTATTGTGCTAAAGCCATAATACAACATGGGCCTGAATTTTTGCAGTGCATCTTCCCCTCTAGTTTGTTTCCCAGTTTGAAGAGATAATTTTATGAAATTGCTCCTATTTCCTGTAAAAAGAGACACTCCCAGCCTACAAAACAAAAAGAGCTTTTAAATGCCCACATCTGTAGCTGTCACCTGCATTCCTTCAATGCCTTAGTACAGCCCAGAGGCTGCCCTAGGAAAACACTCCCAATTAGCAGCTGAAGCAGAACAAAACCTCCAGAAAACAAAGCCATACAAAGCTTCAGCGCAGACTCAGGAGAACTGACCACCAGAATCTTCTGCAAGCATTCTGTGCAATTAATTAATACATTTAAAAATAAAAAGCAAGATGAGTCCAGCAAATTAACCAGCCCCATCCCCCTAAGTCATGAACAAAGTATCTCCACTAACTATGAACCAGGAGTGCTGACTGGATGGGAGTCAGGAGAGCAGGCCTCTGCTGAGGAGCATCGCTGGGAGCCACATCCACAATACCTCAGGGAGGAAGAGAACAATGGTCCCAAACGTCTGTTCTTCCTTCTTCCCCCGGCTGTAGACACACTAAGGCACAGGTCACATATTTTGATTCACTTGGGTTACAGGGGCCTGCATGATACTGTCTGCCAGCACAAGGTCTGCCATGCCCATGGAGCTCTGGGTGGCTGAGGCAATGTAATGGAGCTTGACTGCAGATAGAAATGTGGGGCTGCTGTCCTACCCTCAGCTCAGGAACATTACCTGTAGGATTGCTACCTGTCTCTGGGTGAAGGCCCTCACTGCCCCAGGAGGAGGACTGCAATGGATGATTGAGAATTGCAAGGGGAGGACTGACAAGAAGATCCAGTTCTCATCCAAGAGCTTCACCCATACCAGAAGCATCACTAGCATCTACAGTGTGGGTCTGGCTAGACTGCCTTCAAGAGGCAAGGGCACCTGGGGACAGGCTCAGCCCCTGGGGGTACTGTGGAGGGTTTGTTGTGGCAGCATCAGAATAAATGAGGCTTTCCTCCTTATAAACAAAACAACAAACACAGGAAAGCAAAAGGGTTATAGTTAAGGTCAGGGAGGGGTAAACAGAGACAGGCCACTTGAAACTTGGAATCACTAAAGCCACAGTGGGCAAGGAAGGGAGCTCCATTTGCAACTTTTGAAGATGGCCAATACTCCAGCTGGAAGACAGACAGATGGGAGAAGCAGCAAAGGCACCTGTTACCCTAAAAGGGGTTTGCCATAATGACAAACAAGGAAGCCCAGGAGGGAGTTGGAGCTGGGGCAGAGGAAAGGCAATGCCAAAAGATCCTGTGTAATTCAACAGCAGAGATCACAAAGAGAAGAACCCTTGATGAGCACAGACAAATAAACAGTCATTCCAGCTCCCTAGATATTTGAACCAGGGTTGCAAATTGAGTGGAAGTGTGAGGGCCTGGAAAATGAGCTGGGACAGGGACACACCAACCCTAAGGGGCTGAGGTAATTGGAGGTGAGAATGGGAGACCGAAGAAGACATAGGTTTAAAGACATAGAAGAATGCACAAAGCAAGAGAGAGAAAGGCAGAATATGACAGCAAGAGGAAAAAAAATCAACCTTTTCTAAGTTCATGTTTCATTTTGAATTAAAAATTTATTTTCTATTTTGGCTACAATTATATCATTTACAACAAACCACACACAGCTCTGAGTGTGTCAACATATGTTACTTCAACACAGACAAGTCACTGTGTTTCATTTAAATTTGAACTACTTAAGGGCATCTGATACTGGCTGAAGCATTATCTTCTTTACAGATGGGTTTGCAGAGTTTTGCATTATTAAAATCTTTCATAAAGCAAATAAATATTTTGATCTTCATTTAACAGATAAGTGATCTCAATAAATTGCCTTGTGATATTTATAGTAGTTGCACAAAGCCTGTATTACTTGTATACACTCAAGGACTGAAAAAACTATGTAATTATTCATGAATTATCCATGGATATCAGTTTAAAACACTTAGCTTGTTCCCTTACCACAAAATCTGAATATTTCTGTTTTTAACATTTTTATTCTCACAGCATCCTTATCTGTAATAACAAGAAATACTATTAGACCCGTTGAAACTAATGGGAAGTAGATGCTGAGCTGGATACTCTGAACATCACAAATATTCAATGAAAAACACAACCTCAGGTCAGGTGCTTATGCATGCACCAGAAGAGCAGCTTGTGACTCTCTAGAGGGTTTGGAATGATCACTTCCATAGGATTTTCCAAACCCAAATTTTGCTGGCATAATACAACTTGTAAATTCAGAAGTATAGAAATTCTGCATCTTACACAGTCAATCTTGGCTCTTCTATATCTTTTTATGTTTAGTTTTGTGTGCTATTTGCAATTAAATTTAATGCTGATGTTATAACAAAATTTAGCTATCTCTTTCCCTTGGGATTGCCTACATTTGTTCCATATTTTTTCTAATTGCACTGAATTTGAAATATATTAAATACCTGTAGCTCATTCATCTTCACATATAATTTTTCACTAGTGTTTTTGCAAGAAGTTGTGTTGCTGTTCCACATTCATAAATTCAAAAAAAAACCATCAATAAACCCCATATTTTCTAACCTTTAATTTACTGTGTATACATATATGTATATATATACATGAAAAAAAAACACCATTCACTAGCAGTGCAAACCCACTTTAATAAAGCATGAGAGTTATCATTGTTTCATTTGATTGCTACTTGGTGTAGAGGAATCACAAGCTGAGATAAGTCTCAATACTTTCCCAAGTCCATATATTCATTCACCAGCAGATGCTGATTCTTCTGCAGGGGAGAAAAAGTGATACAGACATCTTTCTGAAATTCAGGACAGCATTTATTTTTTGTGTTGTCGTTTCTGCTCTATTGCTGAATTCAAAGCCTGAAGAATCAGATGCTTGTTATTCTGAATGTTGTAGCTGGTCAGTTTTACCAGATTGTCAAACTGCTCCTCTGTGTAGGTAAAGCTGTTTATGCAGTATGGGGAAAAAAGGCCGGAAACATCCACATTGCCCTGTGCCATCTCAGCGGAGCTGCGCTCCACACCTGCCAAATCAAGAAAAGTCATTGACAGAGCATAGGGATGATCTTGCATCCTCCTCTCCAGAGGAACATCGTTCCTCTTTAACTTAACACCCACAGTCCTTTCCATAGGAACCACATCAGGGGAGGAAGGAGTCCGTGCCAGCCCTTGCCACCCATCCCGAAACAAATGAAGGCTACACAGGTGGTGCGAGGATCAACTCCGTCCCATAGCTTACCTGGTTCTTTGTACTTTCTGAATGTGTCATTCACCAGAGGGAAAAACACCACTGTTGGTGCCTCCGGAGTCTCTGCATCTTCAAAGACGTAGCACTCCTTTAGATTTTTCTTCTCCTCTTCACTCAGGTGGATTTTTGGAAATGGAATTCCCTGTTTTGAGAAGTACTTTGAGGCTTCTTCCAAAGGCTACATTCAGACAGGAGAAAAGGTCAGAAACTCTACCTTCCCTTCAACTTTTCATAACACATAACACGTTCGCCAAAGGCACTTCACAGAGATCAGGGAACAGCAATCACTGTCAGTTTTTCTTCTGGTCTTTGTCCCTTTCATGAGGAATTATGTACTGGTTATCAACATTTCAAGACCAAGACATCAACTAGCACTCCTGATGATTGTCCTACCTTCTCCTCCTCAGCCTTTATCTGCAAGATAAATAAGATGTTCATAGCTGTGTGCAGGGGTGACACAGCCTCTTAAGAAACATACTCCTTAGTGGAGAAACTCTCCACACAGAAGGCACAAGCAGCCATGTCAAGGTCCCAGGAGCATATAGGCATATAAAATAAAGCTTACGTATGATGAACTTGATTAAAATAAAAGATTTATTAAACTGATACTACTTCTGAAGTTCTCCCTAAGGGATTTGTCATGACAAACCAATATTAATGCAAGATCCAGATATCCAGAAAACAGGAACTGAATGCCAAGAATCCTTTTCTCCCACATTTAGTTTTTTTCTGCATTAATTATTCTGACTTCTGGGGAGCTTAAAAGGAAGAAAAGACAGTCATAATTACACAAGTGAACAAAGTGGTTATCGCACCGATGTCTGTGATCCAGAAGAATAGTTTAAGTGTAGGACAACATCCACTTTCCTCTCTGGCCTCATGAGTGGTGGGTAGCTGATATCAATGTATCCTGCTGTGTCTGCAAGGCACAGGAACTCTGCTGTTTCTGTCAACTGGTTGGGGAAGTTCTCTAGCACAGTATCTAAAAGGAAATATTTCTTATGATGAGTGATTCAAGGAAGAAGTAATATATTTGTTGTTTAGCCAATAAAAGAGGGCAAAAAGGCCCCTTCTCATTACTTTCATTTTCCAAGATCCTGCTGCATTACAAGTTCCATCTTGACTCAGAAAAGAAAGATCTGTCCACAGAAAGAAGACAGAGATCCTTCACTTCTCATGTTGGCCTTTTTCCATTCCTGATGATCAGCAGTTGCCCTTCCTAGGAACCAAGGTATTTCTTGGAGTATCTGTTAACATTTTAATTTCAATTAAAAAAGAGCTGTGCCACAATTAGAGCGGTTTTGCAAATTCGTTTTTGAAATTTGACTACTTATCTTGAATTTTTTGTTTCCAAAGTGAAGAATAATGCATTTTCATCTTTGACCTTCTCTTCACTATTGAAAATACCAATCACCTAACCAGAAAAAAACCAAACCAACAAGAAAGCATTTGAGAATGCTTACCTTTCCATATACAAAAGCTTTTGCTCTGAAGGTATTCATTGTGCATCTGGAACCCTTTTAGGAAGTTGAAGAACTTTGAGACCATTACTCGCTCAGTCAGGACTTCCCGAACAATGCCCATGATGCCACATTCAGGGGTGACTATGTAAGTCTCCAACTCATGGCTCCTGACTGCTGGAGAAGGCTCATCTCCTTCTGATGGGTAGAGCAGATAAACAAATCATTGTTTTGATAGTGATTTCATAATACTTAAAATAAAAATTTTCTACTATATGCATCCGGATGTTATATTCATTCAAAGATTTGTAAGGTAACAGATACAATAGAAACAGAAATATAACCAACCAACATCAACAGCTGTGGGTTGAGTGCACCTCAGTGAGCACCCTTCTGAAGGATCTGATGAATGCCAAGCATCCAAAAGGTTGTATGAAAAGACATTGCTCCACAGGCCTGTGGAACGATAGAGAACAGGGAAACTGCTTAGAAACATTTAAATGGAAAATATCCCTTTGATCTTTCCAGAGGCTTTTAGCACATGCAAAGTGTTTTCTCATCAAAAATGTTAGTAAGTTCTTTCACAGCAACAGTTTGTCCTCAAGAGGAATCTAAATGGTTTTAAACATTGTACCAGGCCTTCAGCTACCATAATTCATTGTCACACACAGCTATTACCAGTACACATTGCAAGCCACCATTTTCTAGCCTGCATATTCCTGTTCTATGAGAGAGTAAAACCATGCCAATTCATCTAAAGCAAGGGTTTGGTCTAAAAAGAATGTCATAAACAACTGTATTCATAATTAAAGATTTAGGGATTGTTCCTGAACAGCCAAGATCCAAGTGGTTACAGCATAGTTTGAGATGGTCTGCAGAGTATTTAGGTCCCCTAAAACAAGACATCTTCAAAATCTGTTGTATGTTTCTCCTTTCCACAAGACATTTTCAGTGAGAGTCATCTCCATCTCCTCATTCCCATAGTTCTTCCACTTTTTTCCTCTCACTTAGGACATTACTTCTCCTTGTAAGTTACACTTCTCTTTTATCCTGTAGCTGTTGTGTTTTTCACTATATTTTAATTGCACCTCAAGAGGGCACTTGCATAGTACACCACTAGGTGGCAACATAGCTCTAAATCTCCACTCAGCCCCTCCAAAAGATGCACCTATGGCTTTCGGGGTCAGCAGCTTATTTCAGGCTCTGAGGACAGAGCTCAGCCCAGACCAGATGTGTTGGGTGTGCTTGCTATATGGACACCTTGGGTATGACCACACCACAGACACTGCAAAAATGCAATGGAGGAAAAATGTTCTCAGAAGATGCTTTATAGTCCCATGTTACTCCATAATCCATCTCTTTTCTCTGATTGTTAGCACAAAGTGCTTTACTGAAAAATACAAGGAAATCAAAAGTATAGTGGGGTCTCTACTCCAGTCTCCAGCACCTCGTGGGTCTGGATTTGGTACTTCCAGTAGCTGGTGGTTATAGTGTTACACAGTCACCAGTGAAACTACCTTTCATGAATTTGTCCTCTCCTTTTTAGACCTGTACATAGAATCATAGAATGGTTTGGGTTGGAAGGGACCTTTAAGATCATGTAGTTCCAACCCCCTGCTATAGGCATACTCTTGGCTCCATTGATAACATGAGTCTTGTCCCCCAGCTGCCTCTTCTCTTTACTCATGACATCACTATAAGCTCAAATATAATCATTAAAGCTCTGAGAATTAGGGTCTGTGAAGCTAAACGCAGTCTTCCTCGTGCCCAGGTATTTTCTAAATATAGTAGCAGTCTGACTCTGGGCTTTTTGCATAATATCTTGAGGTGCACAGTTTCTCTGCACTTCAGATAAAGAATACCAAAGATTATTGTTTTTAATGTGGGTTTTTTAGCCATAAGAAAGCCATTTCTTACTGGCATTCTTGGTGAGCTGTTGTGTGTCATACTTATTTACATGTGAAGGACTCTTCTGCAGAAGAAGCAGAAGAGTGAACCAGAATAGAAAGTAGTGTCATAAAGAATTCTAGTGCTAGAAAAAATAAAACAAGAAGAGTTATAAAAATAGCAAAGCTGTCCTTCCTGCATTACTGTGAGCACTTTACTGAAACAACGATAGCAAAACACACTGATTTGATCATGAAGAACTGTACATTTCAGTCCTACATGTTGCAGGGCACTGGCGGAATATTTAGGAATTGTACATATTAAGTATATTTTTATGCTATCCAAAGTTTATCAAGGAAGCACATCACCTTTCATGAAGCAGATCCGAGACTCAGGAAGCTTCTTCATCAAGCGACCCATGAAGAACTTGCTGCCAAAATCTTCTGCACGAATGAAGGCACCATATTTTAAAAACCCAACCTCATAAGGTGTGAACTCAACCCATTCTGCAGAGAAACAAAACGGACATATTAATTCATTCCATCCACATCTCCTAGCAGGAAATACCCTGGAATAACAGGGAAGCAACTTCAGGACAAATCCTATGAACAGGGTCATCACAGACTGGCATTCATCAGGGTAATGACATCATTAAAATAGTTGCAGCCACTCTCTCAAACAGTTTTCCCCAGACTTGTTCCTACGGAACTCTCCAATGAGCCTCTCAAGATAGGACATAAATGAAGTTTATACCAAAAGAAGTCAGCCTAAATTACCCCATACATAGATCAAAGGCTCTGATTTGGGAGTACTTTGGCTGCCCTAAATACTGTCCCCACATTTCTCCTGTCCCCTTGAAGCTGGATTTCCCCCAGACGTTAGACATAAAGTCTGAAAATGGAAAAGAAAAAGAACTGTTTATAAATGCTATGGTTTGTCAATGCAAGGGGTTGCAAGATATACTGTAATTGGTAACAGAGATACAACTGAATCCAGATACAGTTTAGTTTTGCCATCACCTTTAAACTCTGAAAGGCTGTAGTCATCTTTGATGTTGAGGATCATGTAGATTGGCAGGGGATTCTGACCTTGAGTTAATGCCCGTCTCTCATCAGACAGTTTGTGATTGTTTTTCTGTGTATTGACCAGAAAAAGAGAAAGAGCAAAGCCAAGGGACCTTCTTCACACTGTGCATGGGCTTGGAAAATTACAAAAAAATAAATACTTATTTCAGCTACATTTCTTATTCTTTCTACTCATCTTGTGCCAAAACATTTTTTTTTTTTTAACCGAAGAATGACCTGAGCACACACACCCCAAAGGTTTATTTGATTACAGATAAGCTACAGGAATTTTGTGGTACAGAGGGTTTTCATTCCTCTGAGTAAATGCATTCATTTTGCATGGATTATGCAAGTTCTCACAGGGATAAACAGAGCAAAAGAAACCAAAATCAGGATGCTGGAACCAGATGTTCAGATACTCATATAGGTATAGTGAGAAACAGGTTTCTTGCTCTAGCGAATATCCCTCAGAATGGTAACTATATGTTAGAGAGATGTGAGGTCAAAAGCCCTTTGTTAGTCAACAGAAACCAGTTGTCTGATAACACTGGCAGGCTCTCAGGATAGTGCCTGCCCCTGGAGCTTATATTTCTGTACAGTGGTATTCAAGACTTGTTAAGGAAAATTTAGACGTGCTACCCCATCACTTAATGCTCTTTCCAGCAGCAGCCCCCAGAAATCAATGCTAGAGATCTGGTATCCTTCTTGCTTCCGCAGCTTTAGCTCTTGGTCGTAGTACTTTAAGCTCTCCAGGGAAAAGCAGCTCAGCTTGCTCTTGGTCATGTGTCTGCGGACTTCACGAATTGGTCCAGAGATATCCTTGTGTGACCAGTCAGGACTCTGATACAAATGTGCCAATGTCCTGAGGAAAAGAGAGAAAGCACATTATCATATGCTCATGTTTCCACCTCCTAGTCTTGGATTTAAGGACCACAAAAACAAATAAACAAACAAAAAAACTAGTTGAGGTTCATTAAAGACATGAAAACACATCTGAGGCTCAGAGGTTCTTTGATCTAGATTTTTATTTAGGTCCCAGGAAGTTCTACCACATATAACTAAATTGTTTATTGTACTTCATTCAATTAAGATGCCATGTCTCTCAAGTTAAGCAGATGAAAATCTGATTTGGGAGTAGGAACTGAAAAATCCAACATCATAAAAACAACAGAAATGGTTTACAACGTTTCCCTAATGCAAAAGTAAAAAAGCCTGAGGCTAAAAACATACATCTTCCTTTACCACAACAAAGAAAATAAATCTCATACAGCAGTTTACAAAGCTGAAAAACGACATCTTTGCTCGACATTTCCTTACCATGTTGAGCCAGATGACCCAGTGATGTAAGAAATAGCGTCTAAGAGACCCAACTTTTGAAGACCCAGCAGGTTGCCTAGCAAAGATGTCAGTGCCCGAGTGCCACCGCCTGTTGTCATGACTGCTACAACTGGAACCTTTTTAAGCATGAACACAGTATTTAGTATGCAACAACACAGTTCATATTAGCACATTATAGCTCAGCTACATGTACTACAGCATTTCTGTCTTGGAAGAATTCTGACATTTCATCATTTCCCCAAGCAGAGGAGAAAAAGATGAAATGCTGGTACTTTGCACAGAAATTAAAAAAAAAAACAAAAAACAAAAAACAAAACACCTAAAAACAACAACAAAAAAGACAATTTGCTAGTTTATATATATTTTATCTACAGAGAACAGTGTTCTATACTGTAATATGCTGGCTTACTGAAACAGCTCATTACTTTTTATTTTCAATATTTTCAATATTAGGTTGTATTTCCCTTCATGAAACATCATCTCTTGAAAGCTCTATTCTGAGAACCAGAAATGCTCATCCTCTCTAGTAAGTCAAATATAAAGACTGGATTACATTTCCCATAAAGTATCTAGAGTATATAATTGCAGAGATGAAGCACGAAGCCCAGCTAAATAGAAACCTAAGTTACATTACAGGAAGATAAATTCCTCCAACCAAAACCCACTGGGAGTGTAGTGGCTAAATGACATTTCCTATACACATTTCCAGGCAATTGTATCAAGAAAATACTTAGCTGTACTTCTTTCACCTGATGCAAATCAAGAAATTCTGGTTAAAGTAAAGCATTCTGATTTCAGTATAAAAGAAGAAAACATGCCATTTTCTTGTTTGTTTGCTTGGTTTTGTTTTTCCCACTGAAAATAATGTGCTAATGAGAAATAATGTACTAGGGTGATCAGTGAGACGGGACATCATTTACAGCTCATTATATGACCATTTTATCATATAATATTTAACACACCTTTGGCCCAGCTGTCCTGGGCAAAATGGTAAAATGGTCCTGGGCACAGGTAAAAAAGCTCCCAAAATGAAAACTTCAATTCCGTAGTGCCTGATCTTAGACCATATTCCCTCCCTAGAACATTCCAACGACAGCATGCACATGATGAACTCAAACTAACTCTTGGGTTTGATGCTACCCATGCTCTCACGTTGCTTCATCTAAACATTTCTTGATGTTTTACATGGGGCACTAAACACATCAGTGCTGGTTAAGGAACAACACATGACTGGCTGTGGATTTGATTCATTCCTATCACACAACACGATCCAGGCCCAATGTTGCTCCCCATACCTCATGGTCTTGTAGGTCCTGTTCTAAGTTAAGTGCTTTTTTCAGGGCAGAAGCCACCAACTTCCTCCGTTTCTGTAGGAAAATTTTCTCCTCCATGCATAGATCAAACTCCAAGCGAACATCAAGGTTTCTTGACCTCAGAAAGACAGATTACTCCAAGTTTTATAAAGTCAACTATTCTGAATCCTTTGCAACCAAGGAAAATGAGGCATAAATATGTTTTTCTAAACTTGTAGCACCATGATTTTTTTTTTCAGCCAGAAAAGATCTTCATCACAAAACATAAAGACAGAATTTCTTACCAGTCCATTGACTTTACATGTAAATTGACTGTTTCATTCTGGAAAACAACACAAAAGAAAGAAAACCATAAGACATAATAAGTTTTGGAGATGCTTTTATGTCCTTTACTTGCAGTTATATTTGAAGCCCTTCACTTTTTATGAGAGCAATGTTGGACACACAAGGCTGTAACAGTAAGAAAACCCATCCAATTTCTAGAACTTCTCCAAGTCCACTAACATTATTTATACTGAAGCTTCAGCCATTTTAGATACACACATCAGTGTATACAGCAAAAACCAGCCCCAGCTCTGTCAGTGTGCCTTGCCTTGCTTCATTGTTTGCATACACTCTGGCCTGCATTAGTCCAACTGATCACAGAAACCCTTCTCTCAATCTTTCGGCTGTGATTTTTGTTTCTGCTCAGCTCAGATGAAAATATGCAGGTCTATAATTCTATAGGAATATAAATTTATCACACCTGTTCACCATCTTAAGAACAAAATAAATCTCTTCCAGACACACTGTATTTTTATTGAGTAGTAATTTCAAGCAAGGTGTAAAACCCTTCCTGATTGCTCAGAAGCTGCTGAGTTTGCAGCTCTGTAATACAGGGTCTTTGTGCCAACACTAGCATCATGAATTCCCATCCCATAAAAAAGCCTACTTAAAACTTCAGAGGGTAGCAAACTTCAACAAAGATAGGATAAAAAACCCAGACATAAAGATTGTATTGCCAGAATCGCAGACATATCTATAAACAAGCCATAAAATATGAGAATCATCTGTTACGTTGTGTGAGAGCTTATACTGGCCAGTGTTATTTAATAAAGTCGCTTGCATAAAACAATCACAATAAACTGAGATCCTTAAGGGCACTCTACCCCCTTCCTACCTCCACCCCTCCCCACACCCTTGCATTGACTTTTATTATTTTGCATAGTTTTCTAATGCTCAGCGGACTGCAGAAAATAAGGATTAGCAGTTAGATATCTAAACTTCTACCTCATGGTAATCTGGTTAACTCATGCTTGTTGATCCTGGGACCACAGCTTCAGATTTATTCTAAAGAGTTACTGTCAATCACCTTTGCCACTGCTACTTTCTCCTTGAAGGGAAGTGAATCCAGAGGAACAGTGAGGGATGCAACGCAGTTTTTTTTCTCTTCACCTGAGGTATACTAAAAAAAAAAGATTTAAAAGTAGAAAAATATTTAATGTATACACCATAAAAAGTACTGTCACCAATTTTTTTAAAAAATAGGATTGACTGTCAGCAGTTTCCAAGTTGGTATCTAGGTATCTTAGTGCTCTTCCAGAGCAGATGACCATGGAAGTTGACTTCCAATTAAAATAATAATAATAACGATATTTTTTTCCGTATGTCCCCAGTGAATTATGGAAAACCATGAGTTTGCTGCGCTTACTCAAGTAGAAGATCACGTACCAAGCAGAAACGTGGCTTCTTTTCTGCCAGAGCCATGCGTAGCTCTGCCAGACCATATTTGAGATAATGGAAGATGAGAGGCCTTGGGGGTTGCAGAGAAGAGCCCACTGACAGGGTCTGATTCTGTTCATAGGATCCCTTCACTGTGAACAGGAAGTCTTTTTCTAAAACAAACAAACAAGTATATTCCCAAACAGGAAATATTACAGGGAAAAAAAAAAGAAAAGAAGCTATAACTGTTTGAGAAACTCAGACATATGGGAAAACTGGGTTAAACTGAAATAACTGAGATAGAGAAATGTATTTACTTCTATTTTACAGTATTAATAAAGTTCATGCTCTAATTCCAAACTCCAATTTTGCTATTTGGCATGGACACTAATTGTTGGATCTGTACAACTCTTATTTGTAACCATCTAATATCTGTGCTCTATTTGTAAGAAAAAAGGAGGGAAATTACTGGATAAAAAAATGACAAAATAAAAGAAGTTCTTAATTATCTAAGTTGTTTCTACTTCACAGGGTTTAAGATCCAGTCATCACGTTTCCTTTCTTGTAGCACTTTTTTTCTGTGTTAAAAGGTTAAAGTCTAACCTGAAGCTACTTTCTTCTGTCTATTGTCCACAAGAACTTCCAAGCAGCAAGCTTCACGAGACTGTCACAGGAATGAATAATGAGATAATTAAATATCCAAACCACACCACATATGAGTCACTTTGCTATTTACTTCTGGCCACCCGGGTTCCTGGGGTCTGGACACCTGCCCATTGTGTGTTTGGCAAGTATGGGTACTCTTATGATGTGCCAACTGAAAGAAAAATGGCTGCAGCGATGTGTCTGTCCATGGGATAGGAAGAAAGGGGACACAATGAAAGCAGTGGAGTATGCCAAGGCCTCCTGAACATAGACTGATTGGTAGCCAAATCACAGAGCTGGCCTTGCAGCCCTGCTTGTGTGAAGCTGTACAGTCAAGTGCTACCTCCTTCCAAGCAGTGAGTTAGGGGCAGACAGGAACGCCACCTCCACTTCATCCAGTAGAGGGGTGGCTCTGTGCAAGTCCCAGGAGCAGTTCCCAGGAGGAATGACACAGAGGCAGCAAGCAAATGAAGAGCACTTTAGGCTCTGCCAAGAAGCTTGCCATCAGCTGGTGATGGAGGACTGGCTGTGGGTATCCCCAGTGACTGTGTTCACTCTTTCTTAATACATCCTCACCCCAGGAGCCATGCAGACAGATGGCTGCCTGTTTCTGATGCTCCTCCTCCCTCCACCCCACATCTCCCTTTCCTTCAGCTCTGACTGCAAGGACTTATTGGGGCCCTTCCCGTATTTATCATTCCCGACACCAGAAAGATCATAGATAAATAGTTTGAAATTACCACCAAGACACCATTACTGATAAGCTTTTCAGGAGGAACTGGACTGAAAGAACAAAAAATGAAATCAGAACATGATCTAAATACCTCTTTAAATGAACTGTGGGAATTAAACTTTCCTTAAAGGTTGTCTCATCTAACACAGTCTGTAACAAATCACTGATTTTTAAATTGTTGCTCCTTTAGAAAAAGACATATGAAACGTGACTCATTTTTTTTATGATAATCATAGAATCACAGAGTGGCTTGGAAGGACCTTAAAGGTCATCTAGTTCTAGCCCCCTGCCATGGGTAGAATTGCCAATGACTAAATCAGGCTCTACATCAGGTTGTCCCTGTCCAGCCTGGCCTTGAACACCTCTAGGGACAGGGCATTCACAGCTTCTGTAGGCAACCTGTAACAGTAATGAATACTAAGAAATCCTGAATACAGTCACTGCAGTTCTTATTATCCTTATCCCAGTCCCAGGAAATACTGGAATAGATTAGTATCCGGGATGACTTTTGGCAAATAAGGAAGAGAATGCTTTTGCCAGTATGCAGATAATTTGATAAACATCAGCTGTGACTGTGATGCTGCTTTGAACTACATTGTATTAGATTCTAGCATTTGTTTTACATTTTGCTGGTTCCATTTAGGCTTTACTCACATGCTCTCTGATGCAAACTCAACTTCCAGCATCTCCTGTGTCTGTAAAAGATTAATTTACTCTAAGCATTTGAATTAATTTTCTTTGTCACCAACTATTCTTGTTAATGAGTATTCTGGCTCCTTAAATGGCTCTTACAACCCAAATTCACTCTTGCTTTAGAATATGCTCAAATGAGTAAAAGTAGTTGAGTTAGAGTGATTTTGGAAAGTGTTCTTCATCTTTTATTAATCATCAGTCTTTAGGCTGTGCTTGTCCATTCAGAGATGAGGCAGAGTAAAATGGCTACTTGGGGAATCCTCAGTTACAGTAGTTGGCCATCTATCATCTTTAGCACCTCAGCATGGATCTTTGTGTTATATTCAGGCAATAAAAAATTACAGGTCAAGCTTTCAGCCTTTAACTGAACACTCCAGTAACTGTGTCAGCACATGCCATAACTCTCAAGTGCTAGTCTCAGGAAAAGAAATTGACAGAAACTTCGCTCAATAGCAATGGAGTCTTCTATCCTCAACAAAATCTACTTAAGCAACAGATTCTAGACACAGGGAGGAGGAAAAAAAAAGGAACTCTTGCCAGAAGGATTGAGTAGCTATCAAAAATGTTCAAAATAAGGAGCACTTTTCACTGTACTGAATAAGGTTGGACATACAGAATAAATGAAGGACAAATGAATATAAAAGAAACCCTCCCATCTACAATTGCTTTACAATAAGTCATATAGGGAGGTAATAGCAAAAAATACGCTTCCTTCCTGTGGGCAAGACTGTTTTATTTCTCACCTCTGGATTTAGCTGAAAAGTCAAGCGAACATTTTCTCCAAGCGGTATTTTAGCAACATCAAAGAGGACAGTGAAGAGGAGATCATCTTTAGTGATTGTATTTTCATCATAGACTTTCAGCTCAAGAATATTCTGTGAATAGAGATAGAGGGTTAAGGCCACTTCTGTTTGGAGACTTTGGGCTACTACGAGGTCTCTCTGGAGCCTTCTCTTCTACAGACTGAACACCCCCTGCACTCTCAGCCTGTTCTCACAGGGGAGATGTTCCATCTCTAGGAGAATTTTTGTGGCCCTCCTCTGTAAGCACTGTCTATGTCTCTCCTGTACTGGGAACTCCACATCTGGACACAGTACTGCAGATGAGGTCTCAACAGCACAGAACAAAAAGGCAGCATCATCTCCCGCACCCTGCTGATAACGCTCCTTTTGATGCAGCCCAGGATACAGTTGGCTTTATGAGCTGCGAGGGCACATTGCTGACTCATGTCCAGCTTGCATCGACCAGTACCCCTTTCCTTTTCATGACCCCAGTCCTTTTCAGCAGAGCTGTGTTTTTTTGGTTAAATACATGCACAGAAAGAAATAGACATTTTTTTTCTGCTGCTCTTAGAACATACTCAGCTCTTCTCACTCTCCCATTCCTTCCTGCCACCACACAGAGCTCTTTGTTGCCATCTGCCACCCACTCATTGAGCCACACAGGACCTCAGAGGTGTTTCACAGTGCTGAGTGAAGTTACACCAGTCTCTATTTTCCCAGTAGATAAATAATTCAGGCCTTACTGGTCTTAGGCCTCAGAATGGTGGTACGAAGCAGGACCAGCACTACCTCATCCAGTGAAGCTAACTGAGCCAGTGGGCACTTGCACAGGCAACTTTTGCAGGCAAAAGCAAAAGTATTGTTGACTGAAGATCCCGGATTACAGCAATACTGTGAGCTATTCTGAATACTCTGTTAGAGTTCATTGATGATCATGAGACCCAGGAGACTGGCCTGCTGATACAGCACCTGGCAGAAATGCACTTCTGCTCTGTCACCAGCACCAGCAACCAAAGGGAGCAAGTCTTAAAGCAAGGTCTGATTGCTCCAGGTATGAAGAAGGGTTGGCTTCTTCGTGTGTACTTGGACTCTGATGTGGAAGCTGTCTTTTGGAGGAAGTGGATAGTGGGACTTGAAAAGCTTCTTACACTTTCACATTTATCATCATAGTAAAAGCTTAACTGGTCAGCTTCAGCAAACTTTTAAATATCTTTTCTTTTTTTTTTTTAATTTGAGGTAATTTGAAAGGAATAGTTCAAAAGTAACAGCAAGTTACACTTGCTTCCATTACTTAGTTCATATGTACCTTTTTATGCTGTTAAATTTACTCTGAAATGCCCACTTTTAGTCTTGAAATGCAGGAATGAGGAGAGGAGAGGAGAGGAGAGGAGAGGAGAGGAGAGGAGAGGAGAGGAGAGGAGAGGAGAGGAGA